CGTCGAGCTGGTAGATGGCTGTGCCGGCTTGTTGCATTGCAGTGATTGTGGTCAGCGATTCGTCGTACTTGCGGTAGAGTTTGCCCGTGGCGAAGTCGAAGACGCGGACTTGACGGTCCGGGAAGGAGACGGCCGCGAATTGTTGGCCGGACGGGGAGATGCACAGCGACGCTGGGACTGACTTGGCCTTTCGGAACTCGAAGAGGTTGGTAGAGGACTTAAGCTCGAAGACATTGTCGGGTTTCTCGAAGGAGCCGTCGCCCGCTCGCCAGTACTCAATCATACCGGTGTCGTCGGCGGAGATGACACAATCGTAGGCGTCGTTGAAGGCAATGGCGGCCACAGGACTGCGGTGGATCGATTTGACGGTGTGCAGAGGGGTCTGGTTTTCACCACGGCCATCGAAGACCTGGATCATGCTGCTTTCTTCGTCTGTGACGGCCAGCAAAGGCAATGAGGCGCCCCGACGATGGACCCAGCATACGCAACGCGGAGTGAATTCGAGGGTGAGCATGGCAAGAAGGTCTGCAATAGGGTTAGTATACCCGGTCGCGGCAACATCAAAGAGTTTATATGCATACCAAAGGTGATCACATCAAAGATCTTGACCGTCTTGTCTGCTCCGGTCGTCGCAAAGCTTCTTCCATCGGCGCTGACGCTGACGCTCTTGATCTCCGAAGTGTGAGCGCGGAACTCCTTCACGAACTCGACACCGACTGCCATCTTCTTCCAAAACTTGACAAAGCCATCAATGGACGAGGTTATGAGGAAATCGGTATGCGGAGTCACGGTAACGAAGGACAATTGGTCCTTGTGCATGAGAGACTTGGAGTACCGCGGCGATGCGGGCAGCGCGTTTACGTAGACCTTCTCGAAAGGGAGCTTGCGACGCTTCTTTTTCGGTGCATCAGCGGTAGGGAGGGCCGGTCCGAAGTCATCGTCGGAAGATGAGTCGTCTCCTAGAAGAGCTGGTCAGTAGCTATTCAACTGCGCATCTTCTCTTCATGGTAGCTCGTAGGAGCTGGTCCGACAATCGGGGACGTACCATTCTCGTCGCTGCCATCCACGGCGGAATGGGGGCGCTTGTTGGTCGCCAGCTTTTGTTCCTCCTCTGCAGGCATTTTAGAAAGAATAAAAGGCAATTTAAGAGTAAATAAAGGGATGAGCAAGATAGCAGCGCTGGTCAAGAAACGATGGAGGAGCAAGGCCGGGCGGTCTGCCACCGCCGGCGGAGCTCGGGCCACATCGCGAACTTTTCTGGTTGTCCCGCATTGGTTGGCCTCGCCGTCTCTGAGTCCTCACCGTCCAGGAGAAGCATCCCCCCCTGAGCTGCCAGTCTTTTCCCCCGACGGTAGCCCATCCTTTCATCCACATTTAGTCACCATGGTATGTTGTTTATGATGTTCTTGCCCTTTTTACGTCGCTTTCATGTAAATACTGACCGCCCCTCAAGGCGTCCTTCGCCAATCCCACGCAGATCTTTGCGGACGATGTCATCGAAGAGAAGGGTGAGAATGCTCGTTTGTCCGCCTTCGTCGGTGCCATCGCCGTCGGAGACCTGGTAAAGAGCACCCTTGGTCCCAAGGGAATGGACAAGATCCTCCAGTCAGCGTATGTGGGATAATCCGTGAAGCTAAGCGGGGTTGCACCCCACGAGCACCACACTGATGTTATGGCTGATCTAGGTCGACCGGAGATATCCTCGTTACGAATGACGGTGCTACGATTCTCAAGTCAATTGCTCTCGACAACGCTGCGGCCAAGGTTCTGGTCAACATCTCGAAGGTGCAGGATGACGAAGTCGGTGACGGTACCACCTCCGTGACCGTGTTGGCTGCGGAGTTGCTGCGGGAGGCTGAGAAGCTCGTGAACCGCAAGATCCACCCCCAGACCATCATCGAGGGATACCGTATAGCTAGCAAGGCGGCTCTGGAGGCTTTGGAGAAGGTGGCTGTTGACCGTAGTGCCGATATGGAGTCGTTCCGCAAAGACCTCCATGCCATCGCTCGTACCACCCTCAGTTCGAAGGTCCTGGCCCAGGACCGTGATCAGTTCGCTGCCCTCGCTTGTGACGCTGTCCTCCGTCTCCGTGGCTCGACCGACCTGAGCCACATCCAGATCATCAAGAAGGCCGGTGGCAAGCTTAGCGACTCCTACCTCGACGAGGGTTTCATCCTCGACAAGAAGATCGGTGTGAACCAGCCCAAGCGCTTGGAGAACGCCAAGATTCTGGTCGCCAACACGGCCATGGACACAGACAAGGTGAAGATCTTTGGTGCACGGGTGAAGGTCGAGTCGACAGGCAAGCTGGCGGATCTCGAGAAGGCGGAGCGCGAGAAGATGAAGGCCAAGGTTGAGCGGATCAAGGCTCACGGAATCAACTGCTTCGTCAACCGTCAACTCATCTATAACTGGCCCGAACAGCTGTTCACCGAGGCTGGCATCATGTCCATCGAGCACGCCGACTTCGATGGTGTTGAGCGCTTGGCCCTGGTCACTGGCGGTGAGATCGCCTCGACATTCGACCACCCCGAACAGGTCAAGCTGGGTCAGTGCGACGTTATCGAGGAGGTCATTATTGGCGAGGATACGCTCATCAAGTTCTCGGGCGTGGCTGCCGGTCAGGCATGCACCATTGTGCTCCGTGGTGCCACGGAGCAGCTGCTCGACGAAGCCGAGCGCTCTCTCCACGACGCTCTTGCCGTGCTCTCCCAGACTGTCAAGGACCCCCGGGTGACCCTGGGTGGTGGCTGTGCCGAGATGGTGATGTCCAAGGCCGTTGAGCAGGCCGCTCAGAACACGACCGGCAAGAAGCAGCTGGCCGTGGACGCGTTTGCGTACGCTCTCAAGCAGCTCCCTACCATTCTGGCAGACAACGCTGGTCTGGACTCCAGCGACCTGGTGACGCGACTACGACAGGCGATCAACAACGGCATGACCAGCTCCGGACTGGATCTGCTCACCCCGGGCGGTGGCATTGCTGACATGCGCGAGTTGGGTGTTGTGGAGAGCTACAAGCTGAAGAAGGCGGTAGTGTCCTCCGCGTCGGAGGCTGCAGAGGTAAGATGCTTCTTCGAATCTATAAAGTAAAGTCGATTATACTGAGACTAACCACATTACAGCTTCTCCTGCGTGTCGACAACATCATCCGGGCTGCGCCCCGTAGACGTGAGCGTATGTAAGGGACGAGGGAGATGTCAAGTAAATATCCAATATCCAATCTTATGTGAGCGTGGAAAATAATGTGAACTTGATTCGAACCCGCCAGAGATGATTTAGGTGGATGACATCCACTACGTGCTTTATCGGGAGCGTAATTACAATGCTATAGACCATTCGATGAAAAAAAGCATCTGACGAATGATTTTGGAACATGCTTATGTTTCTTTTTTCTTTTTCTTTTTCTTATTTTTTTTTTTTTTTCCTCTTTTACGTAGGTTATGGCACTCGTGCTGCCTCTCGCTGCCTTCACGTCATGATCAGGTATGATCTGTTTACCATCGATTGGGGGCTGCGTAAGAGTGTCCCTGAACCTACGCTGTGTAGTAATTGCAGCACTCTGATCATCACAGACACGGGAGTTTAGAGCTGGTGCGATGTGGGTCGAAGGAGTGTTCCTGCCGCCGACCAGCCATCATTAGACGTGGTACAACATATGCCCTCAAGTATGACGAACTCAAGTTTATCCCAGCTCTTCCTTCGGATACGATGACCAGGCACCCCTCGAGTAGCAGTAGGCAGAAACAAAATGGAATTACGACAGCACCAGTTGAAATTACTACTAGGACTTAGTACTCTGCTATTTTAGACGAAATAAATATCCTGTAGGTAAATTGACCCAGATGTACGAGGGCATGGGAAAATTGCAGCTACGCCCGGCCACAGTGTCAATTACTAACTAATTGATTAGTTAGTTGAACATTGATGGCTGTGTCAGGGCAGCATCTGCGCCAAGGATGATAAGCGGTCGAGGATCCAAAATCGAAAGAGGTTGTGCGCACCAAAAATTTCCAGGCCGATCATTCCCAGCAGCCAAGACTGACACGGGCGATTTCCTATATTTAGTGAGCGTTTTAATGTTGTGGGGGAGGGACAGCCTGACTGTGAGAGTTAGTACTTATTTCTCCGAATATGTGCATTTGAGACAAGGGGTGTGTGGTGGTCGGTCGCATGACTTATTTAGTGATATATGGCATTAATAATATTTACATACAGTTTTATCACTCATATACTGTCCTGCTTATAATGATATAGTGCTGCTTCTTTCTCGTTTAAAACACTTGACTGCAGTGATAATAATGATTATTCTGTTAGCGTCCAGTGAAGTATTCCGCGGGGCGATCGATGGGGCAGCCCCCGCAAGAACGGGCCAGTCAGGATCCCCCGCGGCAAGCCATTGCGCGTTCGGCGGCCCCCCAAGGCACCACAAGCAACTGCTGGACCCTGAAGCTAAAGCCCGAAAGTTTAGTAAGTAACTCCAGTTCCCAGGGTCCAACAGAGTCACAGACAGTGCGCCGGACTAAGCTAGTAGTTCTTCGGGTCCCTGAACATGGGATGGATGGAATACGACCCCATGGCTCATAGCGGAAGGGGTTACGATCCACTGCTACTACATTTCGTGATTTTATTACCACCCTCCCACTCCGGTACCACCCCCCCAGTGACCTGATGCCGTCACTGCAGTCTCACCACTACAAGCTGGTCCTGTACCACTCGTTCTTCTTCTCCCATCGTTTGTCATGTTGACTGCTTTGACTGGTCTAGTCAAGATCTCTCAAGCTCTGTCAGCACTTGCTTAGAATCTTTTCGCTCGTTTGGATCCCCAGTCGCAAGGCTGGACGTGGTTGATCCCCTCATTCCTCTCCTTCCCCCTCCCTTCCGCATTCCGCTCACCACGTTCCGTCTTCGTCAACGGAGATTTTTCCATCACTTCATCCGCGTCTTGATGCTGCTGTCTTCTTCGTCCTTCACTTGAAGTTTCGCATTTGTGTCTATTGACGATGGTTGTGCCCGGCTGGATATGGGCGGTCTTTCTGACCATATTTGTCTTCTTTCAGAGAACAGTAACTGCTCTGCAGCTGGACATTAACGATGAACGTAAGTGGCCCGACTTGTGCAGAATGCACCCAGGTGCGGAAACTAATCATTGCGCAACGATAGAATCCATCAAAGATGCCGCCAGAACAACGGCCTTCAACATGATGAGCTATTATCATGGCAACGAATCGGGTCAAACACCAGGAAAGCTGCCCGATACCTGGTGGGAAGGTGGTGCTATGTTCATGACATTGATTCAGTATTGGTATTGGACTGGCGACTCCTCTTACAACGAAGTCACCACTCAGGGTATGCTCTGGCAGAAGGGCGACAATGATTACTTCCCAGCCAACGATAGTAACTATCTGGGTAATGACGATCAAGTCTTTTGGGGCCTAGCTGCCATGACGGCTGCAGAACTGAACTACCCCGAACAAGATGGTCAGCCGTCGTGGCTGTCGCTCGCCCAAGGTGTCTTCAACACTCAAGTCCCCCGATGGGATACTTCCAGCTGCCAGGGTGGACTGCGTTGGCAGATTTGGCCCTACCAGGCTGGTTATACCACCAAGAACGCCATCTCGAACGGAGGTCTATTTCAGTTAGCCGCTCGTCTGGGTCGTTACACCAATAATGATACATACACCGACTGGGCGGAAAAGATCTGGGACTGGAGTGCAACAACACCTCTGCTGCAGACGGAAGACTGGTACATTGCCGACACGACCACTACAGAGGCAAACTGTAAGGATCACGGTGATATACAATGGACGTACAATTATGGAACCTACCTCAGCGGCGCCGCATACATGTACAATCTGGTCAGTGCTATTACCTTTGATCTCTGCTTCGATCTTTTCTTCGATCAATGCTAATTGATTCTAGACAAACGGCGCCGACAAATGGAAGAAAGGTCTCGACGGTCTGCTGGCAAGCACCTTCTCAAGGTTCTTCCCGAAGGAATACGGCAGTAATGTTATGTCCGAGGTTTCCTGCGAGCCTAACATGATGTGCGATCGGAACCAGGACTGCTTCAAAGGCTTCTTGTCCTCCTGGCTTACCTTTACTACAACCATTGCGCCCTATACTAGCGATCAGATTATTCCGAAGATCCAACAATCTGCCCTGGCAGCGGCGAAGCAATGCTCGGGAGGCGACTCTGGTACCCAGTGCGGGCGGCGGTGGTACCAAGCGCAGTGGGATGGCGAGACATCGCTTGAGACTGATATGAGTGCTCTAAGTGTTTTCTCGTCAAATATGATCACGCATCGGCAAAGCCAAGGTGGCCAATCCCAGGGACCATTGACATCGGACACTGGCGGTACCAGTCAAAGCAACCCTAATGCAGGAACCGGTCCAACAGATGCACCTAATAAGCTGCCAGATATCACAACCGGAGATCGTGCAGGGGCCTCTATCCTGACCGTCCTCTTTGTCGGCGGCTGGGCTGGTGCTATTACCTGGCTGGTCTATGGAGGTTGAGCGACATTCGAGATCTTCACTTTTCACTATGTACATAATCTGCTTCATTGAGGCAGAGACGGCTCTGTCGCTGTTGTCCTTTTCTCTGCGATTTGCTGGTTTGGGTCTTCTTCTGGGTTTCTCTTATTGCGCATCGCGGCCATGTATTAAAATTTGTGTAGTGTCTTGGAGTTTTCGGCTTGGAGGGATATTGGAGTTGTGGTGTTTGGAGCGAGTCGAGCTCCGCGGCCGGAGGACTCGACTTTGGGATAGCTATTGAATAACAAACTTGCTTCTAGCTTTGGCTTTGCTTTTTATATGAGACGGAGTCCATCTCACCGAACGACAGCAGTTTTTCACGCCAATGTCTATCGGCGCGACCCCAAATTGACTCGTCAATCCGCTCTCTATAGCCTGTAACTATAGCATTTCCCAATCCGGTTAAGACCAGCCACGCCGCCCTAATCTGGAAAGCGGTCAGACGCGCTGCAGGCTCCACGGCGGGCGAGCCAATAAGGCGGTGTCGAGGCGACAATATTCATCAGATAGAGCGATAGATTCACTTCTTCTGGCAGCAGCAGGAAGGGGACCACAAAACACCTGTCAATCCCCTGGCCCATGGTCCAAGGTCGGTGTTACTCGCTGGCACTTACCGTCCCGCCATTCAATTCCACCTTCTCACCTCCAGACCTCCCTCTACAGCTTCATCTCCCTTCCCCATCCATCCCGCCATCCAAATACGATTTATCATATAACTAATCACTACACCACGCTTTACTTGCTGCACGGATAATGCTCATTGCAGCTTCTCCTGCTGCTGCTACTTCAACCGCTTGACACACACCGATTGCGCGCATCCCATCCTTCCTCCGCCGATATGGTCTTCCTACGTCTTCGAGTCAAGGTCTACCCGCGCGAGCAGGTTGCGCCTACGCCATCCTTCTCCTTCCGCTCGATCCTCGGTGATCGCGATCGCGATCGCGATGACGCCAGCCGCAGTGCTAATGGCTCGGGCGGTGGTAAACCCGTGGCTTTTCTGCTTGTGCTTGAGAAACCGGAAGATATTACGCTGGGCGGACTGGCTGGGTTGATTCAGGATAAGTGGAGGAAGTTGAGACCTAATGCGGAGTAAGTGCATGACTCTCTGGCTTGTCTACTCTGTCGTGCTTGGGATGAGTTACGTGTACTACAGACGGATTGGCTAAATCGCGTCATGTTAGACCTCTGGACATTAAGAAACTCCTCGACGACGATCATGAATCCGATGACCTCGATGCCGATATGACTGTCGCGGAAGTGTTTGTCGATAACGGTAGAGCACGCCAAGATATGTCCGACCAGCGGGGTACCGTTCGTGTGATACAGAAGCCTGGTCAATATGCCCCTGTGCGGTTCCCCTCCGTCACCCAGGACTGGGATGCCGCTGCGCAGAACTTTGAGCGCCAGATCCAGGTCAAGAAGGAGGCTGTTAAGAAGGCGATGGATCAGATTCCGACTATCCATGAAGAGGAGGGTAATGAGTATTCGAATGCTGGCTCTGCTAGTGCACGGTCGTCTGCGTGGAGTCCCTATGAGAACCGTCGGTCTGAAATTCCCGTTTCGTCTGTGGAAAAGGATGAGGTTCCAGGCTCGCCTGCGCCTTGGGAGAAGAGGCCGGTACTGCATGAGGAGGATTCTCAGAACCAGGTTGGCAGCAGTATTGCAGCTACACCTTTGCATAAGCGTATGCAGAGCCAGGAATTAGGGGATTCCCCATCGCACACCCCGACGCCTGAAGAGCGCACTGCATCTAGACACAGTTCCTCGCAAGGATCTGCAAAACAGCAGGTGAAGCAGGCAACGGAAGGGCAAGCTAATGGCTCGCATGAAATGGAAAGTATTGATGGATCTCTGTCGCCGTTGAGTACTCGGAAGCCACTCCAACGTCGACAAGTACCTGAAACCCAGCCGCCAGCCCCGGTCGTTAATGTTGACAGTGAGAGCGAGAGCGAGAGCGAGAGTGAAGACGAGACAGGAGACGAAAATGACGAGAACATGTCTCCCCCATCTGCTCAGAAGAACAAGCTCCAGAACGGCGATGTCGATATGCACGATACGGTGGAACCTACGCAGGAACAGCCGCAGTCCAGCTCGCGCAAGAGGAAGTTGAGCCAGGACGACTTCGAACCGAGCAAGGAGCCCCGCCTTTCTGAGCCAGGAAGCACACATGATACCCCCAAGGGCAACAAGCACGGCACGGTGACAGTTGAGGTGAGTCCGTATACTCCGAGCAAGCGCGCGCGAACCCCATCAATTGGATTTAGCCCCCGCCGAAGCTTTTTAATGCGTGCCCCATTCGCGCCCCCAAAACATGGTCTAGGCTTGGGAATAACAAAAAGCCCTCCTAACAACCGACTTACACGCTGTTTGACCCAGGACTCGGCCATCCCCCAACCCGACTTTTTGGCCCCTAATGGTACCCCGGAGATCCCCAGCAGCGCCCCTACTATTCGCCGTGGCTCAGTATCGCTTGCCCCATACTCGACGCCGTCGAAGGCCCAGGCCCCCCTTGACAAGGTCAAAAACTTGCACTCCGCCTTGCGCAAGAGCTCCCCTGCTGAACGACCATCCGAGCGCCGATCAGTATCGTTCGCCGAATCCGACGAGGTAGTATTTGCTGGGTCTCAACCAGTGCCAAAGTCGAACCCTCAGAGTACCTCGAAAGCTCATGCCAAGGGTTCAGACGCCAACCGGAGGACGTCCGATCCAAGCTCTATGGTTTTCCCTGCTTCTGTGCCCAAAGAGCGGCTGGACCAGCTCTTGGAAGAAGCAAACAGGAAAATCGAGCAGGATAAGCAGTACGAAGAGGAGTTGCAGGCTAAATTACAGACCGCACGCCAGCAGAAAGGCAGTGCTGCGTATATCCGCAAGCTACAGGAACTGTCGGACGCATGGACGGCTCTCAAGAAGGCCGAAAAGCACCAAAAGACGAAAACGGTAGCTCAGCGTAAGTTCGACTCGCTTCAGAAAGAGGTCGACAAGCTCGAGGCTGCGCAGAAATCAAAGACAGCTTCTGCCACACCGCAGAAGAAACAGCAGTCTACGACACCACGCTCTCAGCCCGCTGATGCCGCCAAATTGCCGACGCCGCATGACACGAAAGCTGCGAATGGCACCAAATCTCCAGCTTCGGAAAGCCGTGCTCAGCCTCAGAAGACTTCTCCTGCGCAAATGCGGACCAGGTCAGCTAGCAAGGTGGACGCTTCCCCGAAGATTGCCAGCGAGCCTCAGAGCTCTCTAGTTTCAGACAACCTGGACCTGCCGCCCATGAGCAGAACCGTTCACAGAGCCGGCTCTTCCAAACCAGATGGAACACCAGCCCGTGCAAGTACGGTGAAATCGCCCGAGAAGGCTCCTAAGCCGTCCCCGCAGGCACCGATCGAGCTGTCGTCTGATTCAGAAGAGTCCGAGGAATCCGAATCGGAATCAGAGTCAGAGTCGGAGTCCGAGGAAGAGGAAGAGAAGAAGCCTGCGATCCGTCAAACAGCCTCTTCACCAGTGAAAGGCAACACCGCAACACCCACCCAAGTTCCAGCCTCGCAACCAGCTCCGTCGCAGACATGGGCACGTCCTTCAAGCGCAACGCGCACGACGCGGACGACACTAAAATCATTGATCCAGAACCAGAAGAAGGAGCTGGAAGCGAAAACGCAGCCGAAACGGGCGGCAAACTCGCTGCCACAGAAGCGAAGTGTGTACTCGCCGCCATCAGATGATGACAGCGATAGTGAAAGCGAGAGCGAGAGTAGCAGCAGCGACAGCGATAGTGATTAAACATACCTTTCTCATTCGACTTCTTCTTTAACATTTGATTCTTCCGGGTGGTTGTATCATCATCAACATTATTGTCAAGCGCACTGTGTTGGCATTTCGGCTTTCTATCTGATATAGCGAGAATACTTATCTCAGTGATTTGGACGTGTGCACCTAGCAGCAGCATCTGGCGTGCATTGTATGTATGTATTGTTTAGTTCCAATGAACAATGAACAAGATAGCAGTACTTAGTAGTAACAACCAGACACAATTTCAACTAAGGCACATTCACCCCATTTTCCTCCCCCTCACCCACACCCTCATTCTCCCTCCCCATCATCCCCTCCACCTCCCTAATCTCCCAATTCCACCCAAACACATCCTCCACCTCCCCCGTCTGAATCCCCTGCAACAACCCCATCAACCTTCTACACACCGGCCCTCCCTCCCCCTTCCCACCACCACCATCCCCACACTCAAACCCCCACTTCTCCCCCCGGCTCTTCATCGTAATACTCCTAACAGGAACCAACCCAGCCGCCGTCCCCGCCGCAATCACCTCATCAAACTCCCGTATCTCCTCATACTTAACACTCCTCTTCTCCACTTGATACCCGAGCATCTTCTCCCCGATCTCCAACACCGACGCCGCAGTCACAGAATCAATCACGTTATCACTATCCGGCTGGACCAGCGTCACATTCCCTTCATCTCCATCTCCATATTTAACCCCAATAAACGCACTCGTCGAAAACTCATCCACCTCGCTCCTCGTCTTACTATCCAAATGCAACGTAATCCCATACCCCTCCTTATACGCCGCCATACTATGTCTCTGGACGGGCGCATAGTTGCCCCCCGCTTTAGCGCTCCCTGTGCCCTTTGGCGCTGTGCGATCGTAGTCCTCCAGGATGAGCGCGTCCACGGCGGAGATCCCGTGGTATAGGCCTGTCGGTGTGACGTACACCGCGAAAGTGAATGTCTCGGGCGGCGTGAGGGAGATTTGGGGTGATGAGCCGAATACCAATGGTCGGATGTAGAGTGCGGAGAGGCCGCCTCCTGTGAGGGCGGGGTTGGTGTAGGGGGGTACGTATTCGGCGTTGGTGGCTACTGCGAGGTTCACGGCGGAGAGGAAGATGGGGGTCGGGATTGGGGGGATGGAGAGGAGGGTGGAGGAGTGGGAGAGGCGGGAGGCGTTGAGGGTTGGGCGGAAGATGGTTATCTTGTTGGTGGAGGTGGTGGTGGTAGCATGGCGAAAGGCTTTTAGGCCTTCGTAGGCTTGTTGGCCGTAGTTTAGGGCTGGGGAGAGTCCGTGGATGGAGAGGTAGGGGGATTTGATTAGTTGGGGGGGTGACCAGGTTTGGGTTTGGGAGTCGTAGGTGGATTCGATGTGGTAGTTTACTGGTATTTAGTCAAGTTGATTAGTGGGTTGGTGATTTGATGAGTTGGGGTGGGATGGGATGGATATACCGTCGCGCACTTTGAAGCCGATGTTGGTCCAGTCGATGGAGGGGGTCGGGGGTGGGGGGAAGGGGGGCATTTTGGTTGTTTGTATATTCTAGATATGGGGTGAGGGGGAAAGTTGTAAAGAGAAGATAAAGGTGATGGAGATAAACTACTCAGATATAAGATAGGTAGTTAATATACATAGGCAAAGCAAGGTAGCAAGCGGAATGCAGCGCATGTGGAATGCCGGAATCGCTATTGGAGTTCCCCTCTACTTTGTCTGCATCCGTACTGCACCAGAGGAATGTGGTTCCTCGGCTGGATGCAGCAGTCAAGTTTATTCCATCCATGGGTCGCTGTGCAGTGCAGTACATCTCTCCGCATTTCGGCTTTTATCCCCGCAAACTTTAGTATTTGGCTAGTTGGGTGGGTATGGTCCATTAGCAGCATTCTCGAAGGGAATACGGGATCAGCAAGATCAGCTGTCAGGTTCTACCTTGTTCCCTGTGCGCATGTTAGTAAGACAGTGTATTACTACTCTGTGAATTTAGACCTGGCTGGAATATTGAGAAAGTTCGTATTCCGTCAGCAGGATACGGTCAGTGTTACCATCCCGCTCTGCTCACCGGTTCAGTATTTCAGCTCCCTCCTTCACTGGGAAACCCTCATTATAGCCCAGCACACTAATGCTCATGCCAAGCAAAGGGCTATCGAGGGATGCTTACATGACAGGGTTACTGCCCTCATACCTCGTCCGTGCATCTTACGCGAGATATTGCCCTTCTTTGTGTGAAGATCAACCCTAAGTACCTCAGTGACCGAGCCTTGCATAACACAATAACTAGTTAGTGGGTTAATATGGGCGGTGGCTGGACTTGAATTCAGGCCATGGCGATAACACCATCTTTTGTCGGTGTGGTGAGACCCTTTAGTCACAATCACGCCCTTGATAACTAACGCCCCTGATAGTAAGTAAGTACCTTTGTGATAATGAATCATTCACTTCTGTGATGTACTTCTTCTCCCCTGCCTTACGCAGCCCAGTGCTGTCATTCCTTATTTAGCAAGATCTCTGCTGGCATATGCACTGCAAGGTCAGAACAAGTCAGATTGTCTGCTGCAGAGTGAAGTGTGAACTGGCTATATTTGGGTCCATCTCGGCCCGCGCAGGAGAATAGTATGGGGCGGGTAGAGTGGATATCTGCCGCGACGGGAAGAACAGAGATCGCTACACTACCAGGGAAGAAGAGACAGTGATCAGCGAGGGAAGTAGAGTTTTTGAATATAATTGCAATATGAATGAATACCGAGAATACCTCATTGTTCGAGATATATTATTATTTATAAAATACGTTCGAGTATTCACTGTGAACAAGGAAGTAAAGGGATACCCCTGTCTTACTTGTGTATTGACTAGCCGTGTCGGGAATCCATCCCCGTCCCGATGCAAAAGTCGCAAACGCGTCAGCTCACGTCACGTGCGCACAGCCTCCCCTCGATGCCCCCAATCCAATCCAATTCATCCATTCTATTCCATCCTATTCATCCGTTCAATGCTGCCTCTCAATTGCCCTTTTGCTCTCCATTCTTCTCCCTGCTGCTTCAGCTCCTCCCACGCGGATCCTTCCAACTGATGACACCCCCCGTGCCATCGGATCCCTCACTCTCCAGTTTCTCTCTCCATCTGGCCCACTGTATTGGAGTCCCTCAGCATGCGGTGGCGGCTGCCTGGCGCCCGGTCGACCCTTCCTGCCAGTGTCGCACTCCTCCTGCTCCCCGTTCTTGTTGCTCCGCAGCAGTGGCATGAACCTCACCATGAGCTCTCCTCCACCGTTTCCGTCCCCCTCCGACCGACCGGTTTCACCTCCGGCGTTGATGCTCCCCCCTCTTTCGACGTGAAATCCAACGATGCGAGCGCCCTAGCAACCCTGGCTCTGGCCGGCTCTGGCCGCGCCGTTCGAGCCCCTCCTGCCCAGGCCAGCAGCTCTTCCGCTGGCCTGGCTCCGCAGCTTCACGCGCGGTCCCTGCAGGACTGGGAGGTTGAGGACTTTGTCCTGCTGGCGACCGTCGACGGTTCCATTCACGCACGCGACCGCAAGACCGGTGCCGCTCGTTGGGCCCTCGAGGTCCCGAGCAGCCCTATGGTCGAAAGCCTCTACCACCGAGCCAACCGCTCCAGCTTCGACCGTGCCCAACCCGAGGACGATTTTATCTGGATCGTCGAGCCGAGTCAGGGCGGAAGCCTCTACATCTATAGCTCGGGGCCGGAGGCTGGTCTCCAGAAATTGGGATTGACTGTGAAGGAACTTGTTGACGAAACGCCTTACTCGGGGACCGACCCGGCTGTTACTTATACGGCACGGAAGGAAACGACCCTTTATACCATTGATGCTCGCACCGGAAACATCATACGAGTCTTTAGCTCTAGAGGCCCAATCTCGTCAGGTCAGGAATGTCGTAAGGTCGATGGACTGGATGTGGATATGGAGGAATGTGAATCCCCTTCGGGTACTCTAGTTCTTGGTCGTGTCGAATACACGGTAGCCATCCAGAACACCGAAACCGGTGATCCGATCTGCACTCTCAAATACTCGGAGTGGACGGCCAACAACCGGGATATGGACCTCCAGAGCCAGTACCTCCGCACGATGGACCAAAGCCATATTTACAGCATGCATGACGGTGTGGTCCTCGGCTTCGATCATTCCCGGATGGACCGGCCACGATACACCCAGCGATTCTCGAGCCCGGTGGTCCGCGTCTTCGATGTTGCTCGTCCGGTCAGCGCCGATTCATCTAATGACCCTACTCCCCTTATTCTACTCTCGCAGCCTCTGCAGCCTCCTGACCCCGACTACGGTACGCTTGACGATCGTGACGAACGAGTGTTCATTGATTATACTGAGGGTGGTGGCTGGTATGCCATGTCGGAGGCGACCTACCCGCTTGTCACCGGAAGAGCCAAGATGGCCCAATGCTACGAAAAAGACTACCTCCGCCATGGTCAACCCCTGACAAGCTTGACCCCAAGGCAGCAACAAGACGCACTAGCAGGAGTTCATTCTCTGAACGGCCCACGCGTTGTCCGCCGTCACATTCCCAGCATTTCTGGTCCCTCATCCGCCGATATGTCCAACGATACGCCTCGGGAGTTGATCTATAGCTCGTCCGACCTGGCACTGCCTCCAGCCCTACGCCACAGCACCATCATACGGAAGGGCTGGGATAATGCCATTGACATTTTCGTGACGCTCTTGCTTCTCTTTTTCGGCACCTTCATCTGGTTCAATTCTCATCACATTCAGGAACTCGCCAAACAGAAGTTGGATCTGAAAAATATCATGGCCTCGTACGGACAGCCCATGTCTACCCCGCCGACCCCAATCGTGGAAGGCCCTCATTTGAAACGCGAGGCCAGCCCTAACCGCATGGCGAATCTGACTGTCGATATGAATGTTTCAGATGAGCAGCCGCAGGGTGGTGATTCGACGCCAAGGCCCAAGAAATCCCAAAACTCTCTTGCGCCCGACACCACTCCACGCGTACGCATCCGGGAACCGTCTCAAGGCCCAGATGGCGATGACGATGTTGACGAGCTCAATATACAAGACGGCGAAAAGCCTAAGAAGAAGGCTCGCCGCGGTCGTCGTGGTGGCAAGAATCATAGGCGGGGTAAGAAGCCGAATAGCGACAGTGAATCGAGGGATCCCGCCGATCGTGTTGTTGAGGAAGTGAACAAGCTCCAACCTCAGTCTCGCTTGGAACCTGATGTACAGCTGACCCGGACAGTGTCGCATGAGATCATGGAAATGGATGGGGTTCTCCAGATCGGCCGTCTCAGGGTGTACACTGACGTGGTCTTGGGACACGGAAGCCACGGGACCGTGGTGTATCGAGGCTCGTTCGATGGACGCGATGTGGCTGTCAAGCGCATGCTGGTAGAATTCTATGATATCGCATCCCATGAAGTGGGCCTGTTGCAAGAAAGTGATGACCATGGCAATGTGATCCGGTACTACTGCCGAGAGCAGGCTGCCGGTTTCCTCTACATTGCTTTGGAGCTGTGCCCGGCCTCTTTGCAGGATGTGGTTGAACGTCCATCGGATTTCCCGCAGCTAGTCCAGGGCGGCTTGGATTTGCCTGACGTTCTGCGCCAGATTGTGGCAGGTGTTCGCTATCTTCATTCTCTCAAGATAGTGCACCGCGATCTGAAACCACAGAACATTCTGGTGGCGATGCCTCGCGGGCGTACTGGTTCACGCTCCCTGCGATTGCTAATCTCGGATTTCGGCTTGTGTAAGAAGCTCGAGGACAACCAAAGTTCCTTCCGCGCGACTACGGCACATGCCGCAGGTACCTCTGGCTGGCGAGCCCCTGAATTGCTGGTAGACGACGACATGAGCCCGGCCATGCAGGGAAGCGAGTCCCAACACACCGAATCTTCAGAACCAGCTGTGGTGGACCCTCAAACCAACCGGCGGGCTACTCGAGCCATCGATATCTTCTCTTTGGGCTGCGTCTTCTATTACGTTCTGACACGGGGCTGTCACCCGTTTGACAAGAACGGCAAGTTTATGCGTGAGGCCAACATTGTCAAGGGCAACTACAACCTTGATGAGCTGCAGCGTCTGGGCGATTATGCCTACGAGGCTGAAGATCTGATCCAGTCCATGTTGTCGCTCGATCCTCGACGACGGTAAGTCGATTCTCATTACATGCCATGCTTAGTACTAACTTTCCTAGCCCCGATGCAAGCGCCGTGTTGACGCACCCGTTCTTTTGGCCTCCATCTGACCGTCTTAGCTTCCTCTGCGACGTCTCGGATCACTTTGAATTCGAACCGCGGGATCCTCCTTCGGACGCTCTTCTGTGTCTTGAGTCGGTCGCGCCACGGGTGATGGGCCCGGACATGGATTTCCTGCGACTACTGCCACGGGACTTCAAAGACAATCTCGGCAAGCAGCGTAAATACACGGGATCGAAGATGCTAGATTTACTGCGAGCTCTCCGGAACAAGCGCAACCATTACAACGACATGCCGGAGCATCTCAAGGCACACATTGGCGGCTTACCGGAAGGGTATCTCAATTTTTGGACTGTGCGATTCCCCAGTCTCCTCATGAGCTGCCACTGGGTCATTGTGGAGTTGCGTTTGACTCGGTCCGACCGCTTCAAGCGCTACTTCACGGCGATCGATTAGGGGTTGCCAACGTAGACGCCATTTACTTGTATATAAGCATATGTAGATGACATGTTACGATTCCATAAGTGATACGAGTCTTCCTTTTCTCTAATCTGAATTGTTGCTGTAAACTTGGACATCTCGATGCATTCTGACTGTGCGCGGGGTGATCACGTGCCTCTAGTCTAGTGACTGGGGAAGCCCTCAGCGATGAGTCATGAAAAGCGCTGATTGGCCCCAGGCGCTTATCTGGAAGCAGCCTAGCGTCCCCGATGTCGCTGGACGGGAGTCACAGTCACAACCGGCAGGTGTGATTCAGACTTGCCTAATTCAGCCAGCCAGTCCCATCGCTGTCCTTTATCAACATCGTCAATTCTTCTTTTCTTCTCTTCCAACCATCCATTCTTCACTACACACACATCAAAATGAGCGGTAACAAGGCTGTCGCTGAAAACATGCTCTGGGGAGGTCGTTTCACCCGTAAGTACACTGATTACCCCTCAATGCCTCCCATTGGGACAGCGGCTAATGTTCACTTCCGGCTGCAGAGGGCCTCGACCCCCTGATGGTGCAGTACAACATGTCCCTGCCCTATGACCGCATTTTCTGGAAGCAGGACATTGCTGGCTCCATTGCCTTCGCCCGGGCCAACCACAAGAACGGCATCCTGACCGCACACGAGTTCGCTGAGATCGAGCGCGGCTTCAAGCAGATCGCCGAGGAATGGAGCACCAACACCTTCGTCGCCAAGGAGAACGACGAGGACATTCACACTGCCAACGAGCGCCGTTTGTCTGAGATCATCGGCAAGGAGATTGGAGGCAAGCTGCACACCGGCCGGTCCCGTAACGAGCAGATTGCCACGGACATGCGCTTGTGGCTGCGGGATGAACTGCGCAAGCTGGAGAGCTTCCTGTGCGATCTCGTCAAGGTCTCCATTGCCCGTGCGGAGTCTGAGCTCGACTACATCATGCCTGGTTACACCCACTTGCAGAAGGCCCAGCCGGTCCGCTGGAGCCACTGGCTCCTGTCGCACGCGACCGCCTTTGCCAGCGAACTCCAGCGTCTGCGGGAGGTCATCAAGCGCGTCAACCGCAGTCCCTTGGGCACTGGTGCCCTTGCCGGAAACCCTTTCCAGATTGACCGTGAGGCCATGGCTAAGGAGCTTGGCTTTGATGGTCTGCTGTACAACTCGATGAACGCTGTGGCCGACCGTGACTTTGCTATGGAGACCATGCAATGGGGCAGCTCCTTCATGCTCAAGATCTCCCGCTGGGCGGAGGATCTGATCATCTACAGCAGCTTGGAGTTTGGCTTTGTCCGGTTGTCCGATGCTTACTCGACCGGCTCGTCGTTGATGCCTCAGAAGAAGAACGCAGGTCAGTGACAACGATCACAATTGAACGCAATTTATACTGACTTTTTCCAAAGACAGCCTGGAGCTTCTGCGTGGTAAGGCCGGTCGTGCCTTTGGCCAGATGGCCGGTCTGATGTGCACCATCAAGGGTCTCCCTACTACATACAACAAGGATCTGCAGGAGAGTGTCGAGCCCCTGCTCGACCACATTAAGACTGTCGGAGACAGCATTCAGATCGCCACCGGTGTCCTCTCCACCCTCACTACCATCCCCGAGAAGATGACCGCCGCGCTGGCACCGGAGATGCTGGCCACCGAGATTGCCGACTACCTCGTCCGCAAGGGCGTGCCTTTCCGCGAGGGTCACCACATCTCTGGCCGTGTCGTTGCCCTGGCCGAGAAGCACAACGTGCCCATGGACACCCTGTCCCTGGAGCAGCTGCAGACCGTGGATGCCCGCTTCGACGAGGGCGTCCAGGCCTGCTTGGACTACGAGCGTGCTGTTGAACTGAAGGATGCCGTTGGTGGCACCAGCCGCCGGGCTGTGTTGGAGCAGACCGGTGTTCTTCGCTCATTGTTGTAGGCGTTTTTGTTTATTCTGGGATGGTTGGTTATGGCAAAAGTTAGCGGGCTCGGGATAGAGATTTGTATGATATCCATAATATTGATCTAGACATGATGATTATAATGCCTTGCCGTACTGTAGATGGAAATATCGTCGGATCTATCTAACGTGTAGTAGATGACATAGGAATAGATGCACGGACGAAGGAAACTGAAGCTTCTTCAGTTGCCTTGGCCTGCAATTATCCACCAGTTAGTTCTCCTTCTCCAACAGTATCCAAGCCATGTCCTTGGTTCTTTCCAGGACCATTGCATGAGTCCAAGCTGCTTCGTCAGGAGTGAAAGTGACATCCCCTTTCCTCCTGGATGCCTTGATAGCTAGCTCTGTAGCTAGTCACTTGTTTCTGACGAGGTGAAGTATTGATGAGTCTCATCGAGACTCAGTGCAATATATACCACCACACATCAGCGCAGTCAAGTTGACGGTGAGTGAGACAGCCCTATCCCTTTTGTCATATAAGTCCCCCAACCTCATAAGCTCTCTTCATAAACATTAGTATAAATCCAAAAAAAAAAAAAAATCCCCCCTCTTCCCTCCCCACCTACTTAACATCCACATCCCACAACGCCCTCAAATCCCTCGGCACCCCCCTCCCCAACCCCCCCTTCGCATTCTCATCAACCTGATACACCCTCAACACGCCATCCCCATCATGCACCAACGCACACCTATGCGGCACGCCCCTCACCACCTCAAACACCATCTCCAACACTCTCACCAACTTCCGTATCTTCTCCTCATTATCCCTCTCCCACTGCTCCAGCCTCCCCTCCTTCTCCATATTCTGCGCCCTTGCCGGCAGAAACGTCCCGTCAGGCTGATACTGCCCCGTACATAGAATCGGGGTGTGAGAGAACCACATCTGCTCGAGATTCTTCGAGTTGTCGAGGCGTTTACTCACTGGTCCGGTTTTGATCTCGATGATTCGGTTAGGATGCACTAACGTGCCGGAGTTTATTACCCTGATTCCGGTGGGGGATTGGTGATTGGTATTGGTGGGAGTGGTGGAAGTGGAAGTGTGTGCTGGTGGTGGTTTTCCAGGCATACATGCATCCACTTCATATCTCAGCAAGATATGTATCCCGCCGAGGGTATACCGCACCGCTCGGTTATGGATGATGCTCCCGCGCACGTAGCGCGGGTTCCACGTCGAGGCTTTTTCGAAGGAGTGGCCGTATCCTTGGAATTGGCCTACGAAGTTTGTCTTGCTGCTTGTCCAGAGGGAGAGGAGGACGGTGGTGTTGATTACTTCCACGTCGATTCGGAAGGGCTTTTTGCTGGAGCTGACGAAGCCGAGGAGGAGGCGGAGGTTGCGCCGGTCGCTTATTAGGTCGGTTGTGGTGAGGTTCACTTTGGGTTTGCCGGTGGTGGTTGTGGTGGTGGTGATGGCGCGGAGGAGAGGTTCCAAGCTGCAGTTGGGGAAGATGAGGCTGTTGGGGTCTAGGATGTATTTTCCTGAGTCCGGGAGGATGTGCGTGGGGGTGGTGGGGGGTTTGTAGATCGAGGGGGTTCCTTGGTTTTTTTTTTCAGTATTGGTGGTGGTTTGGGGGATGCTGGGGATGAGGGTAGATGTGGATTGAGGGTGGGGAGAGTGAGGTCTACCTGGAACTACCATGCTCTTTTCCTTCTTGGGGAGGAGGTTATAAGAGGTGATTGTTTTAAGGTCCTTCTTTGTGCAGCTGATGTTGGGGTCGGGGTGGATGCTGTCTAGAGGTATTTCCCCAATGGGGAGGAGAAGCCCCTTGAGGAGGGGAGCTTTGGGCATGGTGCTACTTGGTGGTGATTGAGATGTGGTGGTGGTAATGGTGGGATATAGGTGAGGTTCAGGAGATGGAGTGAAAGCTCTACACTGGAGATAGAAGTGTAAGGTTAAGGTGTACGCAAGGCTCAATCTGTGATCTGGCCATGTTACCCCGCAGTTCAGGGATACAAAAACAACAACAAATCATGCCAACTAATCTGGAAGTGAATGCGAGTGGCTGTGTTGTATTTAGTCTGTTTTGAATTTTCTTTCTTTGTGTCAGCTTCAAGTCAGTACTTTGTATAAGTGAAGCGGGTGGATGGGTTGGGTTAACGGGCGATTGTTGCTTATTTGCAATTGGGGCCTCTTTTCTTCTCCACTTGGTTGGGGCCAGAAGGAGCTCACATGTTGTGACTTTGAACGGGGGTGGTGAGACATACATGGGTTGGTTATTGGTCATTAGGATTCATGTATGAAAGGATTATGAGAAAGCACTCGCAACAGTTTCCTTATATGTTAATTCATAGGATGGATTGTAATATATACTATGATCAGGGTCCAGCAGGACGCCCGATGAATCGGACACGGATCGTGCTATCGTTAAGATAGACTCTTTAGCCGCCTGGTGAAACACTGTACTGTCTAGACCCTGTCGCTACTACTATTCAGTCGTACTGACAAGCGCTGGGGATTGTTGGTGCCTAATGATCAGATAAATGATGTTACATCCACACCAGCAGCATCTGATATATAACGGGGCAGTGCTGAAGATCAGCGATGGAGTAATTTCCAGCGAGTGGGGCTTAAGTTGAAGTTCGTCTCAGATTCTAGCTTCTTTAAGGGCATGAACTATGGGTAGTGCCAAAGTACCAGGTACAATATTGATGGAAAGAGGTACAAAGTCAATGCAGACATGGCTCAAAATGATTCAAGTACACGAAGGCCGGTAGAATATAAAACTTTAAAGCAAGCATTGTAACAAGTACCACGGGACGATGGCGCATCTGGGAGCGCGTCAGACTGAAGATCTGGAGGTGGCCGGTTCAAGCCCGGCTCGTCCCATTCTTTTTTTAAACCTTTTTTTTTGTTTTTGTTTACTATCCGTTCCTATTTCTTTGTCTTCTTAGCCATGCCCCTCTTCTTCTGCTTATCACTATTCAATTGCAGACTACAGACTAGTTTCAAGATAGCAACTCGTAATCAGATTGTATAGATTACCCCAAATTACTCCAACACTTTATATCATAAACACCAAGCATACGATCGTCCGGCCTACCACACTCAAGCAAGGAGATTTGATCTGTTCCGCCTGTCCCGATGCTTATCTTAGGTTAACTGTCAGGATGATCAGCGGTCCATTATCTTAAATACGCCCAATGGATGGACCCTATCATCCTGTTTGGGGCCAAAGACGGGTACCTGGTAGGATCGCAATAATCATTCCATAATCGAAGGTAGAGGCATCGGGGCATCTGCTCGATGCAGTATCAAAGCGCCAACTCTCTACCGCGTAACGGTTCATCAGCACCATTGTCTCTTCCTAAACTAACCGATTGGTGGCAGGCTTGGTGGTAGCGCCGGAGGAACTCAGTCAGCGTTGGATGGCGATCGGGTCTAAATTTAGCTGGGGGGGGATGCGGCCCCGAAAGGGTCCAGCACCAAAGCCTGAGCCCAACCAACAGCCTCCTAGTCCCTTGTAGGCAAACCTGTGTGAATCCATTGACACCCGCTTGGCACCTGCAAAGCCCGCCAACCAGATGGAGAAAAGCCGGGCCTCTTCCTCCGGCGCCACTCGCTCTGCCAACTTCATGTCCCCGTCAGACTTATATCCTGCGTGTGACACTCATTTTCCTCCCGTTAACTCTTTCGCTACTCTCGACCACACTTTGCTGCATCTTCCTATTTTGCCAGCCATTTGACGACATGTCAGATAGCACGCTGGTGTCAGTCGTTATCCGGAATCGCTAGTTGTTCCCGTCATTCGCTCCCATTTATCTTCACCTCCCCACCCTCCCCTTAAAGTGAGACGTGAGAATGCGCTGGTCAACGTGCCTTACCAGCGCCCTCCTCGCGTCCACAGCACCGCTGGCCGCTGCAACCAGACTCATTGAATCAAATGCTCTGAATATCTGTCAGGATAGCAACAATTTTACTGCCACCTACTTCAGCGTCCGCTTCACTCCCGATAATCGTTCTTTGGTTCTGAGTTTCGATGGCGTGGCCGCCATCTCCGGCAAAGTCACTGCCGATCTTTCCGTCGACGTCTATGGCTACCAGTTGACTGGGGAAACGCTGGACCCATGTAAAATGAATATAGAGGGTCTCTGTCCGATGAGCGCGGGTGCCATCAACGTTCAGAACACCCCAATCCAGATTCCGGAAGATGTGGTGCGCCGGATCCCGGGTCTGTAGTATCCCGCGCGCATTGATTCATCGTCTAGTGTTAACAATATTGCAGGTATCGCATACACTGTGCCAGACCTTGATGCCACCGTTCGGGTTTACATCAATTCCACAGATACCGGCACTAGTATTACATGTCTCGAAGCGACCTTGTCGAATGGAAAAACAGTCTACCAGAAAGGAGTCGGATGGACGACAGCGGTGATCTCCGGCGTCGGGCTTATCGCTTCAGCTGTCGCAGCTGGTCTGGGCAACTCGAACACTGCTGCCCATGTCGCCGCTAATGTGCTGGCCTTTTTCAGCTTCATGCAATCACAGGCCATGTTTGGGATGATCTCGGTCCACATGCCGCCGATCGTGGAAGCATGGACCCAGAACATGCAATGGAGCATGGGGATCATCCACGTTAAGTTCTTGGATACCATTTGCACCTGGTACCAACGGGCAACTGGTGGTACGCCGTCGACTGTCTTGTCGGAGCTCTCGACTACGTCTGTTGAAGTTCTCAAAAAGCGATCTTTGGACAGCGTGACCAATGTATTCAAAAGACAATACGCTCAGTCGGAGACCGCCACTACCGGTACCACAGAGGTGCGGGGTATCGATCGCGTGGGATTCAGGGCCGGCATTGAGGGCACCAACATCTTCCTCAACGGATTCATCTTCTTTGTCTTTTTCGTCGCGGTGGTTATGATTATCGTCGGGTTACTCAAGGTGGGAAGTCGCTTCCTGGCGAAGAAGGGAAAGACCAAGACCGACAAGTTTGGAGACTTTCATGTGTCCAAAGGTATCCTTTATCGGCTTATTTTCATCGGATTTCCGCAGATGTGCGTTCTTTGTCTGTGGGAATTTACGCAGCATGATTCGGCAGCCGAAGTCGTCCTGGCGGTGGTTATGCTAGTTTCCATGATCTGCACGCTCGGCTGGGCTGCCTTCCGAGTTATCATCCTCGCGCGGAGGTCGGTAGCAATGCATCGAAACCCAGCCTATATTCTCTACTCGGATGAGGCCTGTCTGAACAAGCTGGGATTTCTGTATGTACATTACCGAGCCACTGCCTACTACTTCCTCGTGTTCGCGCTACTGTACATCTTCGTCAAGGCGATGTTCATCAGTCTGAGCCAACCGGCGCCGGTTGTGCAGACGGTGGCCATGGTGATTATCGAGACCTCGGCGCTTATTGGAATTAGTATCGTGCGTCCATGGATGGACAAAAAGACCAATGGCTACAACATTGCCATCGCATCCATCAACTTCGCAAATTCCATTCTGTTGCTTTTCTTTTCCAACGTCTTTGACCAGCCCGGCATCGTGACCGGTGTGATGGGGGTCGTTTTCTTTGTGTACAATGCCGCATTTGCACTGATTCTGCTCTTCCTTGTTCTTTACAGTTCTGTGTACGCCATCTTCTCGAAGGATCCGGACTTGCGCTATCGACCGATGCGGGACGACCGAGGATCTTTTGCCAAGTCGGGGAGCCAATTGATCACAGAGCTCGATGCGCTGGGTACGACTGCTCGGGGAGAGGGGACTCCGGAGATGTGGAACAAAGGCAGTTTGCTTGATGACACTGGATCTGTTGCCAGCGAGGGGCTGCATCGAAGCCACCAAGATCTGGCCCGGGACACTGCTCCTGGTCGTGAAATGTCTGAGACGCCCGTCAGCCAGGCGAATTTGTTTCCCATCAGCCGAGGGAGCAGCCCTGTTCATAGAGCGGCGTCACTGAATGCCGCGGGTGTGCGTCGCAGTCTGTTGAGTGACAGCGATAATGCATCTGCGACTCATCCGCATGCAAACCTATGATGGATCTGATGGATAGGACAACTGGGGCGTTATTTTACTTTAAAATGTATCTAGGTTATATCTTGCGCGTGCTGAATCTATTTGGTCTGGTTTTAACATACGTGAACATGTAGGTTCTTCTCTGCATAACACCGCGCGGCACACCTCGGGTGTTGTGGATCTTCAGCGACGGGCTAACCCGACCCCCGTGGGGAATGCAGCGAACAGACCCTGTAGAGCCATCAGGCAACGCCCGGCGTTTCCGGCTGTCTCCCGTCTCTCTTGCCGAGTCTCCTCTTTCCACTTCTTCTCCTCGTTGTCTCCTCTTTTCATCTCTAGGACCCATCTTTTTCATTCTCTCGATCCACTGCCCACATGCCGATGTCTGCCAAGTCATGCCGCATTGCAGTTCATCTACCAACCAGCCAACAGCACGATTGCCTCGTCCCCACGCGCGTCATTTCCATCCATCACCCCGAACCAAGTAGCAGTGGAGACCAGGGATATGCGTCATTGCTCGGAAGGATGATCTACCGATAACTTTGATTGTTGCTACTATCGGCTGTTATTGTACCGACTGAGCTTGATGGCCGATATTTAGCCGTGCAGGAAGCCAGTTTGAGACACCCAATTCACAAGCTCATCACAATGTGGTCTTCCTGGCTGCTGTCGGCATTACTGGCCACTGAAGCGTTGGCCGTACCCTACGAGGAGTACATTCTAGCCCCGAGCTCTCGCGACTTGGCTCCTGCGTCCGTTCGCCAGGTGAACGGTTCCGTCACCAATGCGGCCGCTTTGACCGGTGCTGGTGGACAGGCCACTTTTAATGGCGTCTCGTC